AATCTCTTAATGCAGGATCTGTTCAAGTACACCAAGTATATTAGTGAAAAAAAAAAAGTATGAATAACCTGATGGCAGCGATCGCACTGATAAGGCTTTTCTCCGCTGTGCACCCTCTTGTGCCTGTCCAGGTGGTAACGCTGAATGAACCGCATATCACAAGCATCACACGCAAATGGCTTTTCCCCTGGAAAACAAAACAAAACCCACACACGGGGAAAATGAATTTAATCATCGCTGATTTCACAAAAGACATCTAAATCTAAATTACTGCGTTAAAGTCTGGAGACACCTCTTTGATGAGAAAAGGGGTGCAAACAAAAACATAAAAGGCAAAAACACACTTTCGGCAATTCTAATGAGCTTAATAACTGATATTAGATATGACCAGCTTTTTTCAACTGAACTCTCTTAGACAAGCACTCTTGTCATTTCTTTATGCAGTCTTCTTCTGCAAGGACACACAAAGCTCTGCTTTAGATGTTGGCTGCTTTTTGTTCCGTTTGCTGTCAACATGATCCACACTGCGTCAGTAATGTTGAGGCCAATCCGAGACTGACAGTGTTGCATTGTGCGTTTTTTGTGCTTTTACTGCATTTGCTGTCAGTTTGGGACTATTGAAGCCACTACCAATGAGATAATTTTAAGATGGTACTGTATGGTGGATCAAAATCTGATGTTACTTCTCTGCTTTCAAAATTCCATCAATTTTAAGGAGATCTGCAACAGCAGTGACTGAAACGCAGCCCCAAACCATGACAGAGCCTCCACTGTGTGTTAAAGATAGCTTCAGACACTCTGCTGACCTCTCTGTGACCTACTCTGTACATTCTGATGACAATTTGAAACAACAATTTCAAATATGGATTAACTATTCCATAAGTCCTGTTGCCTCTGATTTTCAGTGTAGTTCTTGTTTGATTTGACATATCACAGCATTTTCTCTCCATTCGCCCTCCTGGGAATCTAATCTCGACACCCAGCCTTCCACCAATTTCACTTCTTGTTCAGCAAACAGTTCAGAGAAGGTTCAGATGCATCTGCCGGGTCCTGTGTCAGGTCTTTGCTGGATTTGTCTTCCATTTTCTTCATGAAATGACTTTCAAACACTGTTCGTATGCTACAGATAGATTTTTAGGACTACCATCTTTTGTTTTCCACTTTTTCAGTTTCCTCATTTTTTTCAGTAAATAGACTTTTTTGGGAAAGACCTGTTTGGTCTAAATACTGTTTTACGCTTGTCAAGCTGTGTCATTACTGGCCTTTTTTAATAGATTCAACTGAAGAAATGGGAACAAATGACATGATTTTAAAGACACTATTTAAATTGGTTCTTTCCTAAGCTGTCTGTTATGTGTAGACATGACAGGGGTTTATTCTTGAGCTAGATGCCCTTTTCATGCTTTAATGATTCATACTCAGTGTTATGTGGCTTAACAAAGGAAAGAAACCCCACCCCTCTGAAAATCAACTATGAGGACTATACTGAAAATGAGTGAAAAAGCATCGATGTCCAAAGAAAAACTTGGAAAGACTGGAGAACTACTGCTCCGCCTTCTATAGCCCATTGTAAAAGATTATAACAAAACGTGGCTCCTCAGAAGCAAATTATAAAGAAGACGATGGCAAGATTTTTTGCACATTACTTTAGTAAGAGTCTTATAATCGAGTTACAAATTAGGACCAATGCAGAACTCAGATCAACATACAAACTTAGAAGAAGAAACGTGGAAAAGACACATTTTACAAACTTGTCAACCAACCTCTGAAAATGCATCAAAACAGGTTAAGGAGCAAATACTAAAAATAAAGGAAGTTGGTGGGTGTTTTTAAGCTTATTCTGAGCAGAGGGTAAGTTCTCACCTGTGTGTGTAAGAATATGCCTCTTAAGGTGGTAGCTGCTCCGGAAAGCTCCATAGCAATGATCACAGATGAAGTTCTTCTGGACTTTCAATGAGCTGTCGTCATCCATATCAACTGATGGAACTAAATGCTATAAACGTGAAGACAATTAGATGAAATTAACTTAAGAGCAACAGTCTGTTCACTTTCTAATTTCAGTATAATTTTAACCTTTCTTTACCTCCACTTTTACTTTGTTGGCTAAACCGGATTTTTTGTGTTTCTTCTTGGGCTGCATATTCTGGTTTGCCTGCATGCCCTTTCCCTCAATTATCCTTGATGTATGATAATCTCCATCTTTCCGGATGAGCTTTTGAAAGATGAAAAAATGTGACAACAGGCTTCTGTTAAATGCTGCTTTGCAACCTGTGTACATTTGTCAACCAACGACTTAAATTGGCTTATAAAAGCAAAACTGTGAAATAACATCAGCAGACTTAAAGTGAGTTATTTCTCCATGCAAAATAAAGACGCATCTCTCACCAGGGGTGGGCAGCTCCCAGTTGATGGATGGCCCATGTGGCTGTGATGTGGCTGTCCATGGTGCACCTGGTGGCTGTGGTGGTTCTGGCTATGCTGCGAGTGGGTTTGGTGGCTTTCAGGACTGGTCCTTTGCCCCTGACCCAAGGGTGACATCATCTTCTTTTGGCCTGGGATGTTGTTGGCTTGCATTAGGGCCATGCTGGACAGCACTGCCTCGCAGCCCAGCAACCCAGCCTGACAATACAAGCAAAATGTCGTTTTGAAAAAGAGGAGATTGCAGGACTCCTCACGCAGCGAGGCATCAGAAGGAAGGAGAGGGGGACTGAACAATGGGAGTAACGGATACATGCATACGATAAAACCATGATCGTGATCTTGAGATGAAGAGACTTCCACTGACCCATTTCATATGGTCTCGAACAGAATTGCTGGAATGGTGTGTCATCGCCGTGCTTTGAATGCGTGTGTGTTTGTGGGGACAGAGGGGCTTCACTCGGGATGAGGGGTGACAGATGAGACTACACCCTCCAAAATCATCAGGGGCAAAAGTCTGAAAATAAAGGCATATGCATATATGACTAAAAATGTATGTGCAGCTTTAATACGTGCTGTCTATCAGACAGGAAAGCACCAGTTGCTCGGTACATGGCTGACAGAAAACACAACAATAAAAGGTAAAATGAGAAAAATGATGGAGATGAGGAAAAAGCTCGTTATGCACAATGCAACTGTGTAAATAATTCATTAACCAAACAAATCCTTCAATGACAATAGCCAGTAGTTGAATATAGAAATGATGCTTCTTTTTAAATGGTTTGCAATGCACTTTAGTCCAAGTGTAATGAAACACACACCTGTATCTACCTCATACAGCTGCAGTAATAAAAAAAACATCCTAAATGAAGCTTGGTTTTCAGCAGGAATTTGTTTGAAAGTCTTTTTCATGCACATGAAAGAGAAAATTAGAAATCACATTACAAACATGTTAAATCAGTGTGGATTTTTAAATAATTACATTTATCAAAATATGTTTAAATCTGATTATGTTTTGTGTGTTTGTGAGAATTAATATCAGCGGATGTTTTAAAATGAATTTTAAAATAACAAAATATAAGTATTAGTCTTGAAAACCCTACACACAAATGTGGCTATTAAATCAAATCACTTTTCTTTTCTTGTCACATGTGCTGTTCCGGTGGTCTGGTACATGTGAGTGAAATTCTTGTGTGCGAGCTTCACAAGCAACAGAGTTGTGCAAAACTACAATAATGTAAAACAAGCAAAATACAAGAATGGCTAAGTCTGAGACTAATAAATATACGTCCAATATATAATAGTATATGCATTACTGATTACAAAGGCTATGAATGACGCTGCTTCTGTCATACATGTAAAGGCCATAAATACTGTAAAAACCAAGCTACTAGGAGGTCGGTATAGCTCATTGGGTTTGGGGGGGTATATGTATATGCAGTGGCTTAGGTTCCAGTCTGCCTTGAACCCTGTGTGCTGTCCTGCTCTCTTACCCTCCTTTCTTGTCTGTTCTACCTGCATTTAATACTCGTGTATTAGATAATAAAATACATACAGCAGCTTCCCAGTCAGGTCAAAAGCTGGTGCTAGAAGTACTTAAATGATGAATGCATACAAACATGCACAATAAATGGCACGATTACTGCATGATCTATTATGGTAATGTGAAGGGGGCTCTTCCGACGACTCAAACCCACCCATACAGAAAACTCCATAATACGGGCAGAGATTTTTATTTTAATTGATTCAACCACATCTATTATTGGAAAACGCTTTGTTTTGCGATTCATTTGTAAGCTGGTGGGTTTATTCTCTGATCGATCTTACAAAGATCAAACAGTTAGCAGCAGTTAGCTAGCAACGTATCCCAGCTTTTTGGGGGGGGAGAGAAAGTAAGAGGTTTATTTTTCCGCTGGGGTCACGGGACAGACAGCTTTGTGTATTTCCGCGGGGGTCTGTATGAAAGTGTGCCGCACGCTGAGAGTCCCCGCTGAATGAACCGAAAGCAGAAAGCAGCTAGCCAGCCCGGAGTTGGATTTTGGGACAACTCTTGTGTGAGTGAGCGCCCACCCCACCCCCCGCCCCGGACAGCACAACAACAGGCAGGGCGTGCAGGCTCCGCGCCGACCTCAAAATAACGCCGCCCTCGCGAGCTACAACTGCTCCAAACACACGGGCACCAGAAATAAAACGTGTACAGAGCCGCGAGCGACGTGCTGCACACTCGACCGCTTACCTTTCGCTTTTCACAGTGCTGAGGATTAATATTTCTTGTCGCACTTCCAATTTTTTTTCAGTTTACAAACACTGACAGGAAACACCACCGGAAGTGCTCCCCGGGGAGAGTCCTGATTGGTCGTACGCCAAGACACGTGACCGAAGCGGAGTGACCCAGATTTGCGGCCATAACTGTAAGGTGTGCTGCAGAAGTTTTGTTTAAAGGCTTTGTGTCTGGCAGACTTTATAAATATTACATTTTGACTGAGAATACTATTTCTACACAAAGAAAGTATTTTTTGCTTAAACCTAACCAAATAATTGAATAATTAATCCATTACAAGACCAAACGCAGGTTCTCAGAGGTGACGATTTGTTTTATTGTTTGTTGTACATTACACTTACAGAAAGACATTGTGACCCTGAACTGTTTTTCTGAGTAAAAACAAAAAACAAAACAAAAGCCCCCAATCACTTTTCTTGGAATCAATAAAAAATAAATAAATCAGTAATTAGTTAGGTATAAAATGTAAAGGGTAGGCATTCTCCAAAAATGTTTTAAACTCGTTTACAATAAAGAACATGGTGATATAAAGTTTGTAATACCAAGTAACCTTTATTTATTTATTTAACAGCTGTTGGAATCTAGGAAATCAGATATTGAAATGAACACAATTTGACTTGTTTGTTGTTATTTGTAAAATTACCGTACAATGACCAGCATTAAACGCACAATCAAATTTTCTGAAGGGCAAGGTGTTCACTTATGGGCTTTGTCACAGGTCCTTTCCAAGTCTTTCAATTTCATCAAGGAAGAAGTCCATGTCTTTCTGGGACAGTAGGGGAGAGAATACAGTCACACGGAAAAAGTTGACCTTGTTTCCCAAAGGCTGGTAGCCGACCATCATAGTGCCTTGCTTCATCATACGTTCCTTGATGACAGGAGCTACCTTTTAGCAAGAAAACAATACACAGAATTAACTGTACATTTCAGATAATGGGCACACTACAAAAAATGAAGATGCCACATCTAAGTACATGTCAATATGTGTGCAGCGGAAGGAATAAAATATCTCAAATGTGGCGGCTTATTCTTATTCAGCAACAGACAAACTTACTTTTGCCAGTTTCTCCTGGTAATCTTCAGTTCCTTCCTTCCCTCTCAAACTCGGTGGTATGAACCAGAAGCAGACATTCACAAACTCTGGCTGTCCGCAGAGACAAATGCAAGCATGGTAATGACATTTTGCAGGTAAAAAACTCAGGTATGCTTTATGAAAAATGTATGAAATTACCATGCTCAAAAGCTGGAACCCCTCTCTTTTCTTCATCTGCTCCACCAGATATCTGCAAGAGAAAAAATGAGCAAAAAACCCAAAAAGTAACCATATTTAAAAAAAAAAAAATCATATTTCTAACATATTAGACATAATTTATTAGTTAGTGAAAACCAAGAGAAAGACAACTGGTTTCAAGGGGTCTTAACTGGATGTGTAAGGCTGATCTTCTGTTAGAATGAGACAAATCTGACTTTACGACTTTACTTGAAGCTCGCCCTGTGACACATCCTTTATTTACCTTGCATGAATAAAAGCCTTGTCTACACGCTCTTCTAAGCCCATGGAGCCAACAGCTTTCCACATCAACCACAGCTTCAGACAGTCCACCTTGCGGCTGCACTGCACAGACTTATCCCCAATGTCCAGGTTCACATCGTAGAACTTATCTTGCTGGAAGAGGTATGTGGCATTGGCACTGTGGCACTGCTTCAACAAATTCTGGAACAAAGTCAATGATTGTCAAAAAACGTACAAACCCAAACTTTATGATTATTAATTCTGCAGCCTTTAAATTGTGAAGCCAAACCGTGGTGTCCTTCAGGAGTAAAGCAGAACACTGCAGGCCAGCCACCAGCATCTTGTGGGGATTCCATGCTACTGAATTTGCTCTTGTTATACACAGAAACAAACTCTAATCAACATCACAGCCTTACACTGTATCTCCACTCATGTACATTTTAATACCTGTCAACTCCTTTCATCAGATGTCTGTGTTTCTTAGAAAAAAGCACGCTCCCTCCCCAGCAAGCCTGACAAAAAAAAGATAAAAGATTCTCACAAGGTTCACAAAATCAAGTCTCGTCAACACACATCAGTCTTCCACAAGTGCACTCACATCTACATGCATCCACAGCTTGTGTTTATCACAAATATCAGCTATGTGATCCAGCGGGTCAAACACACCCTGCACTGTGGTCCCTGACATACAGCTTACAAGAAATGGCACTGCACCCTAATGTAAAACACACAAAAATACAATTAGAGTCAGGAGATGATGATTAAAAGCTACATGTTACATTTGATGAAAACTAGCTAAACATCAGCAAATCTACCTGAGATTTGGACAGCTCTATTTTTTCATCCAGATCCTCTGGAATCAGACGACCTCTGCAGCACAAGAGACAGCATTTAATTAGATGAAAGGTATTATTTTTACTTGTCACAACTCCAGGTTACAATAGATCAAGGTGTAACAATTATTTCAATACAGAACATGAATCTATTATTTACAGCCCCAATCAAAAGTTTAAGATCACTTGAAAAATGGCAACTCTGTTGTGCCTGAAAACGGCCTGTTTCATTTTAAGCGTGTTTTTTTAATATTTTGAAATTGCTTTGTCTCACTCCCATTTCTTCTTGTTGCATTTTGAAGCTCTACTTGGAACCTTGCAAAATATGATTTTTTTGGCCATTTTTCTAGTGTTCTTAAACTTTTTATCGGGACTGTATTTTGAATAATTATTGAGTCTATAGAAAAGGTCATATAACATCTGCAAGTTGAGTTTTATGAGCATTCGTTTTGCAATTGTATAAATTAAGGACAGAAGAAAATTCAATTTCTTTAATGCTCAATATTCTTTCAGCAGGCAACTGATAACTAACAAGTCATCCAAAGCATCCAAGATGGCAGCGCACACGGACGCAGCAGCTTCAGCCTCTCCAATTAGGCGTTTTTCTTTCTGCAAAGCAAAACTTACCTACAGTCATCTGGAATTATGCAACATCGGCTATAACAGCCAGATCCCCGTTACCAGTGATTATCAGAGGATCAACAACATCCCCCCGGAGATAGCGAGAACACCGGGCGCTCCGTGGATTGTTATGGGCTCTGCCAAGCAACCCAGGCGGCGGACAGGACGCAAAAAAAAGCGGGGCTGCCGGTCAGGCGTGCGAGCCAGGCTAAAGAAGCAGCCTTTTAAACCACCGCTTCCAAGCATCTTCCTGACCAACGCACGCTCGATCGTCAACAAAACAGACGAAGTGAACCCACTTCTCCCCGCACAGCCACTCGTCCGCGACTGTTGTGCCTTGGTCGTCACAGAGACGCGGCCACAAGAGGAAATTCCCGACGCCTCGATGCAACTAGCGGGCCGCACAATGCACCGCAGCGACGGAAAGGCTACAGCAGGTGAAAGCAGAGGTGGAGGTTTGTGCATTTACACGCATAACAACTGGTGCACAAACACCAAGATAATCACCACAGTCTGCTCCCCGGACATAGAGACGATGTCTGTCGTGTGCAGACCCTTTTACTTGCCTAGAGAACTGCCTGTAGTGCTAATCACAGCAGTCTACATACCTCCAAACGCTAATGTTAGCTCAGCCCTGGCCCACCTGCAAAACTCGATCTCTGAACAGCAACGGAGATATCCAGAGGGAGTACACATCATCGCAGGGGATTTCAACAAAGTGTGCTTAACAACCGTGCTGCCTGCATTTGTTCAACATGTGACATGCCCTATGAGAGGGAATAACACACATGTTTACTCAAATATCAACCAGGCTTACAGATCTGTTCCCCTCCCACACCTGAGCATGTCCGACCACCTCTCTCTGCTTGTTGTCCCCTTATACACACCACTCAGTAAAAGGACAAAGCCCACAATCAGAACTATTAGCACCATTTCTGCGGAAGCTCTGGCTCAGCTGCAGGACTGTTTTGCCCTCACAGAGTGGAGTGTCTTTGAACATGACGACCTAGAGACTCACACAGCTGCAGTGCTGGGTTACATCATGTATTGCATTGACACTGTAACCACGGAAAAGCAGTTCCGCGTCTACCCCAACCAAAAACCCTGGATGTCGAGTAAGGTTCAGGCATTGTTAAAGGCACGTAACTCTGCATACAAATCTGGGGACCAGAATATGTACAGAAGAGCAAAAGCAGACCTTAAAAAAGGCATCAGAGCAGCAAAACTGGACTATTCGAGTAGACTGTCAGATCAGCTCTCAGATAATGACCCCAGAAAGGTATGGGAGGGCCTGAAACACTTCACCAATTACAAAGGCAGTGGGACAAATGCAGATAACATGGACATCTCATTAGCAGAAGAACTAAATAACTTATTTGCCCACTTCCAGAGAACTGTAGACACCCCTACCATGCACACCGCCCTGCCCATAGCCTCTGATCACAGCCCACACACATTTACCCTCCAAGAACTCCAGGTTCACAGTTTGTTCAGAGCAGTAAATCAGAGGAGAGCTGCTGGCCCTGACAGAATACCTGGGAGAGTGCTCAAAGTCTGCGCTGACCAGCTGGCTCCTGTGTTCACCAGACTATTCAACCTCTCCCTGTTACACTGTCCCTCACTGCCTGAAATCTGAAACAAAAGTCCCAGTCTCCAAGTCCACCATGCTCAGTGGCCTCAATGATTACAGACCCATTGCACTGACACCTGAGTTTGCAAAGTGTTTAGAGAAGCTGGTCCTATAGCTCATTAAGGACTGCCTCCCACCCAGCTTTGGTCCACCGAGGATATAATTTCCACTGCCCTCCATTCTGTTCTGCATCACCTGGAGAATCCTGGGACTTCAGTGAGGATGCTCTTCATTGATTTCGCTCGGCTTTCAATACCATCACCCCAGACACTCTTGGACTACAAACACATCCGCCTTAGTGAAGAAAGCCCAGCAGCGCCTCCATTTCTTGAGGGTCCTGAGATGGAACAGGCTGCAGACTAGTGTCCTTCTACCGAGCCACAATTGAGAGTGTGCTGATGCACACTGAAGAGACTCCAGAGGGTCATCAGAACTGCAGAGAAGGTGATCGGCTGTCCACTCCCCTCCCTGGACTCCATTGCCACCTCTAGATGTCTTTCTAGAGGCATGGCAATTATAAAGACCAACTTCGTCCTAACCACCACCAATTCAACATCCTGTCCTCTGGAAAGTGGTTCAGATCCATCAGGTGCAAAACATACAGACTAAAGAACAGCTTTACAGGGTTCTTATTATGATGCCCATGTATACACCCCCAACAGTGAATAATGTAACTAATACATTGTGTATATAGTGTTTTTATATTCTTCTTTATATATTTCTTTACTTTTGCACCTTTGTGGTCTTGCTATCTACTTTCTCTGTGCAAGCAACTGTACAATGACAATAAAAAAGTTCAATTACCTGTCGTCCACTTTCACAAAGATGACGTTGTCCAAACCAATCCCCAGAAATGCAGCGCCTTTCTTTACAGAGTAATGGCTCTGAAAAAACACAAGTATGTCTGTTTCAACAGTGTCATGAAGTTAGAAATAAACCTGATGAAGTTTCCATTGCATCAACAATACACCTTGACAAACAGGTGAACAGTCGCCCTCACCTCTGGAGATGTAAAGATGCTTAGCCGTGGGAGAGCCCACACCCCCTGGCTTTTGACCTCTGGGAAGCGTTGATAGCGTGCGAGGTTCATGGCATACATGTTGGAGGTTGAGCCCCCCGGACAGAAAATCCCATCGCCCTCTGTCCAACCAACCAGCTGACGTAGGCCCCTGAGGACCTCGTTCTCCATCAGCACAAAGACTGGGGCTGCCTCATAGGTGAAGCTGCAGTTGTCACAGAAAACGTCTGATCATGTTATTTGCTGGATTAGCCTCGTCTTCATTTTATCTTTCAGTTTGTAAATCTCTGCAGCGCTGCTCTATGAGTCAGGAAACCTTTCTTGCTTACGAACCAATATATAAAAAACCCACAACATTGTGAAATATGTCATCAGTATTGGTGCCAAGAAGCACCACTCAAACAGTGCACCCAAACATCCTTTTGAAACACTTTGACTTTATATTTTTGCACATGCTTTCTAATAAATTCGGTTTATTAAACACTGATACACTACAAATATGCAAAATACCTAAAATAACCTCACTGTTGGAGGTTATTCTTTCTGCTTATTCCTATTTCTAGAGTATTTCTACAGTTTGCTACCAAAGCAGAAACTCTGATCTCCTTTGATCAGTGCCTAACACATTTTATTGTTCAATATTCTTACAGGCTTAACCTTCCATCCCCTCAATATTTATCTTATCTGCTCCTTCTTACAGATTAGTGTTGAGAGCCTCAGTGAGGAATCTTCCAGCCAAGGAATGATAGTCCACCCCACCGTACTGTTGATTAAAGAAATGTGGGTGACCTGAAATTAACAAAAGAAATAGTCCCTTCAAGATCGGACAAGTGCCTGTTTGTTTAGCTCATTTTTCTACTTACTTGTTTTGACGCTGTACTTGGCAACATCTCTTACTCTCTGGAGGAGCTTGTCCCGTGGCTCTCCTGTCTCTCTCACCCCCAAATCCAGGAGCAGAGCCAGCTCCTCGGGCTCTTTCCACTCACAAACCTGCACGAGGAAAGTGTGGATTATGAAGTTTGTTAGCTACCGCAGACAGGGAAACTATTTTGTGCTTCACAAGATACCTTCTGTTTGACATCTGTGCCATTGGAGAGCACTTCCTCCATAATAATTTTGAAGGCTTCATTTAAGAAGAACTGGCCTTCAGCATGATCAATGAGAGGCTCATTCAGGTCACGGAGACTAGCTTGTTCCATTATCTCTTATGTGCTGTTTAAAAAAACATGAATACTTTTAAATTCAAAAGGTGTGATAAGAAACAGACACATGGTGCAAACTTCATACTACTAACCTGAGAATGGAGACGGGTTTGTGCTGCTCTGAAACCAGACTGCAGAAAATGGCTACAAAGCAAAGGTAAGGTGGCAAGAGAGGGAGGGAGGCAACCTTTGTCCCACACTTCTAGTTAATGTTATCTGAGCTGAGAAAAGACAATGGGGCACACACATACACTCAACTGTGATTTATGGGCTCACAAAAGTTCATTTTTAGAAGGTCAATATGCTTTAGTAAGTCATAAGTCATGTATAGCACTTTAATGGATAAAACTTTTGTGGATTCATGAAATGATTCTCATCAGTTCACAACAAAGAGCATCAGATTAGCTTGTGGGTGAACATTGTTAAAGGCAGTCGTTTTACTGTGATGAGTTATGGAGTGTTATGCAATAGAGGCTGTATATCTGCTCTGATATGCATGAGAAGGTGAATGAATCTTAAAAGACACAAGTCAGCCTCTACAGAAACTCTATGAAACATCAATGCAGGAGCAAAGCGATTCCCAGATTGCTCAGACAGAAAACCTTCATAGTTTTGCAGAAAAGAACTCCTAGGATTGCTTTGTTCCCAGTGATGGCTTCTTTTCTTCTTCCAGCTGTGATTTTTATTTATTTACTTTTTTAATGAGCAGCAACAGCTAACGTTTAGGAGAAGTTTGCAGCTAGTCAAGGATGAATGTACGGTCATCAGCCACCTCAATAGGTACACCCGTTCAACTGTTCGTCAATGCAAATGTCAGCCAATCAAAAGGCAGCACCTCAATGCATTTATGCACAAATGGTAAATGGCCTGTAGTTGTATAGCGCTTTTACTCAGTCCCTAAGGACCCCAAAATTCAGTCATTCACCCATCCACACACACATTCACACACTGGCGATAGCAAGCTACATTGTAGCCACAGCTGCCCTGGGGCGCACTGACAAAGACATGTTCGAGGTGAACTGTTAAAGTTCAAATTGAACAACAGGAGGACAAAAGATGATTTAAGTGACTTTGAGCATGACATGGATGTTGGTGCTAGACAGGCCGGTCAGAGTATTTCAGAATCTGCTGCTGTACTGGGAGTTTCCACCACGACCAGGGTTTACAGAGATTGGTGCAAAATGAGAAAATATCTGGTTCTATGGGTAAAACAGCACTGAGAAAAATGTAACTGATGTAATCAACACGTACCAGTGGGGTGACAGCATTACCCCATCATTCTTTTACGGCTGAGGGGTAAAAAAGCAACAAAAAAAAAGGATTTATATAGTCTCTTATGTTTCTGGGACATTCAGTGATGCTTTCGTCTGTGGCTGAACTTGCTGATCTGGTTACTCTGGTGATTAAATTCAAATACCAAAAACCCCCCAAACATTTACACACCAGTTTATCAGCCTTCAACTCGATTTCACACCATTTTCTGTCCAGTCACCTGTGCCCCATTTGCAGTGGCTCAATTCTTAAACACTGGTTAAAAAATAAAAAATAAAATATTGTTTATTTTATGGCAGTTGAACGAGTAATACAACAATTACAAAGAGTTATTTCAAGTGGTACTAAGGTTCTCCTGCTTCTGTCCTTTGCAGATGTTTTCCATGAAAGAGTTTTGAAAATGTTCTTTTCTCTGCTGCTTCATGTGGACCGCTGAGCTTCATCCCTAAGATGAATAATCCCAACATAAAAAGAAAATACCGTTCAAATGAAGTAAGTACAGCTTGCTTTTCATTATCTTCTCAAATGAAAGGTGAATAAAAATCATACTACAGATACCACAACAGAAAACAGACATAAAAGCAACTCTTGTAAGAGATTTCATGAGGCAAAACTTCTATGACTTTCCTACGATAACTGTTAATGCATCATTTAAAAATGTACAGTATAAAGTAGAGTAGTGCTAAATGCAGAGTAGTAAACAATAAAATCTTGTTCTTGTTTAAGCCCTGATATTTATGATCTGACTTGTCAGTAAAAACATTTCCTTTATACTCCAAGCAAGTAATCAGTCAGTCTTCAACAGGAAGTCGATGCTTTCAGGTGGCAACATCCACTCTCCCTGACTGAGAAGCGAATGCAGTTGAGTGGGTGTGGCTTTTTCCCTCTGTGAGTTACGCCAGTGACGCAGCATGGCAAAGACTCGCTCCACATGGAGATTATGGTCCTCTTCGATTTGCTCCAGTTTTACAGATGAGATTTCCAGAGCTTCTCTGCCAATCGCCCTCCAAGATTTGCCGATGGTACGGGCCACAGACATCAGCTGTTTCTCACTCACCATGCCAGAGCCTGTGGGATGAGGCCGTTAAAGTATGTGACTGTTTTACAGAGTTTGACAGTGGAATATATTTCAGTGCATTGCCACTCACCATTGTTGCAGATCCTTTTGTTTGGAATGACATCTGGTATCTCAGGCGCTTGTTTTCTTTTTTTTGAGGTTTCTTTCCCCCCTTGGAAGTGAAAAAAAAATCTTTATATTTATAGATCAGAAATATAAATCTAACTGGAATAAAAGATTGCTGAAAACGAGCTAATTTTAACTTACCCGAGGACCGTGTGTTGACTTTCAGTTTGTTAATAAAGTCAAGCCTTGGGAAGGTTTCTTGCAAGGCGTTATCCTTGAAAAGCTCCAGTAGTTCTTTTGCTGCTTCGGGACCTCTCTGTATGACGTGATCCAAAAGCTCTGTCACTTTTTCACTAGGAGTGCGGCAAGATTTCACGTGCTGGTAGGCGTGAAGAGGCAGCAGACGGCGAGCATCTGCATGCTGGAGTACAAAGTCAGGATCGGCACTTAGGATTTCTATAAGCGTTGGCTTCTGACTTCTGAGTAGCTGGATTTCCTCTCCTGATTCCTCAGCCATGACTGATTTAAATCAACTCCTGGCAAAACAAGTTGATGAAGACCTCTTTTAATAAAAGTATATGTGACATGTCCAACAAACTCAACCAAAAACCTTTTGACTAAATTAAACTTTCAAAAAAGTAAACAGCTCCAACATCCATCCATTCTCCAACATTTCTAGTGGTAATAATTGTAGCTGTGACGCTATTCTGCTAAATGTGCTGCAGACAGCAGGGAGTGTATTGGAACCAGAGTCAGGGTCCCTCTGCTGGTCAAATAGGCAATGACAGCATGTCTACATTCCCACAAGCATTCATTGCCTTCTCATTATTTTAAAAACAAAAAGTTTTCAAGTTGCTGCATGACCGATAACATGTGCATCAATGCTTATATATCTGTTCTAAGCCAATACTAGCCAATTACATTGCTCACTTGATATATATCTATCAGGCTCTAATGCAACACTTAATTGTCCTGCACATGCCTGCATAATCACTGCTAAACATATTCCTGGCTGCCTTTTAATTTACGTGGCTATAGAAAAATGTGATATTCTCACATTTATTTTAATGACTCATTCAAGTCTCTCCAATAATCCAGTGGATGAAGAATGTACAATGGGAAATATTCAAGACTGTTTAAGATATCTAATGAATAAATGTTTCAATTTTGCAGCTACTTTTTTAGTATATAAAACTGTAACATTTAACATAATTTAACATGTAATATGTAACATAATATGTTATAACGTGTTGAAAACCACAATCTCTGATGACAACCTCTGACAAAATAAACTCACCGGCCACTTCACTGGGTATACTTGTGTGACTGATCCTTAACTCAAATATTTAATTAGCCAATGATATGGTAGAAACTCAGTGTATTTAGGTATGTAGATACAGTCAAATTCAACCTCAGAACAGGGAAGAAAGTTTGGGATTTTCCCACAAATCCATGTTACATTCCTCTAAAAGTCGAGGGGATGCAGGGAAGTAACAAAAAGTATCTAGGTTGGGGCAAAAAAGAGACAAGGAGGCAAAAATATAGATGAAATAAAGTTTTTTTTTAAATTAATAACTATACTAAAGAAGACAGACAAGTCACTATATGCATCAAAAGATTTAATGCATAAGAGCACATCAAAAAGGTTAAATGGTTAAAAATGTCCTCTGCTCCACAGAGCAGGCATAAGCAGTTAAGCCATACGCAACTCAGCTCACTACAAAGGCTCTCCAGGACTGGAGCTCACCTGATCCCTGATCTTAAGTACTCAACGCCTAATTGTTGAATAGAAAGGACAGCAGAGAAAGGGCAGCATCTACGGCTGGAAAGAGAGCAAGTCATGCCCAGCCATGGCCCTAACAAGCCATCTTTAGAATTTACAGAGAAAGATCAGAAACAGAGAAAGTATCACGTGAGTGGCAGTTCTCAGAGATTAAAATAGCTGTGAGGAAGGCAATAGTAGCTCAAATAACCACTCATTACAACCACCATTTGCATCGGGTCATTGAAATGATTTAATAGAAGACTATAAAACATTGCCTGATCTGATGAGTCTCAATTTCTGCTGCGACATTTGGATGGTAGGTTGAGAATTTGGCAAAAAGACAATAAATTATGAATTTAGGCACCTTGTAGTGGTGTAATGGTGTGCAGGATACTTTTGCGGTACACTTTGGGCCCCAACTGAGCACCAATTTAAACAGGAGAGCCTACCTATACAACTCATCTCAAACTGGTTAGTTGAACATGTCAATGAGTTCACAGTACTCAAACGGCTGCCACAGTCACCAGATCTCAATCAAACAGATCACCTTTGGGACGTGGCAGAATAGGAGAGATGCATCATGGATACGCGGCAACTGTGTGACGCCATCACGTCATTATGGACCAAAATCTCTGAGGAATGTTTCAGCACCTTGTTGAATCAATGATACGAGGGGATCCCACCCACTGCTAATGAAGTGAGTGGTGAGTATTTCACACTGTGATACACGGGAGTTGAATAGTGCTTATCTTATCTTATCTGTAGCTTCGGACATGAAGAAAATTAAGTGGCATTAATATTTTTTTCCGTTCAAGCATAGACCAGTAACTGTAACTGTAGCATTGTTCAAATAAGCGTAAATACTGATGTACACAGATCAGAAATCACAGCACGTGCACAATCACTCATCAACTTTTTTTCTTTGCCTACGTGACACGACCACGTGCTTACAGAGTTTATTACTTTCAGTGCATGAAGGACGCAAAGCCTTTGTTCTACATCCAGCACTTCAATTCGAAACCCCTTTAATCTCGGCACTTCCTGGGTTTGTGTGGCATCTGTGGTCGATCACTTCCAGATGCGCTTTACAGACTCGCTTTCATGCCCCAAGCAGGCTACAGGCGGAACGTATTTGTGCTTTTCTCTTACCATTTAATGCAACAGCCCCAATAACACAAATGGTAAACAAACGCAGCTTTTAGCCGACAAACAGGAGACGCGTCACAAGTTCACCATCGCTTCTTTTCTCCCGCTGCTTTTCCTTCCTTATTTTATCCGGTCAAATCATTTCCGGTTATTTCTTTCACTAGCATTTTATTTCTGTTTGCTTCCATCCAGTGGTTGGATGATTTAACTGCAGGAAACCGCCCCAGCTCTGAGCATTTAGCGTCACCTGGTGGAGATGCTTACACATTGCACTGCAGTGACAGAAGTGTTCTATAATCTTAAATTCTACTTAATTAAAAAAAGTATATAAGACTTTATTATGAAACAGAGACATTTCAATAAATACAAAAGGAAGTGACTAAAAGAATTATATGGGAGGCATAAAAAAACCTCAGGTTATTAAGGAGAATAAGGCAAAATGTGCACAAAAAACTCTGCAGCTTTAAAAGCTCTAGATTTTCTATGATATAAAGAATAATGGCTATAAAAACAATATACACAGCCACTGCATATGCACAATGCAACACAAAGCAACAGAACTTAAAGTGCATATAAATAATGCAGCATGTCTAATGATAATTTCTTTAGTACAAAAATGAAAAGCAGCAGGGGAGGACAAAATATGTATGTTTAGTTTATTTTGTTTCTTTAAAATTAGCTCAAATTCTGTGGCCAGAAAAACAAAATACACTCACTGCAGCTAAACTGTAAACTAAATAGCTTCTCCACCTGGGCGCCTCCTCAGAGCAAGAATCTCTAACTCTCACGTCGACACGGAGAAATGTGTTGCTGGTAATATTGTGAAAATGGAACGCTGTAAACATGGGAATAAATATTTGATTGTTTTTGGTTGAGCAGAGTCGGCTCGTTGCGTGCATACCAAATAGAACGTGTGCCTGTGTGTGTTTATTGGATGTGCGCACTTGCCAGGTATCATGAATGATGATCTACATTACAGTACATCCAAGTTTAATGTATCAAAAGGCACCTGACTGTTATTGGACAACAATTATCGGGAATCACCAGTCACACATCTGCTCAGCCTATTTACAAAGTTCCAGCTCTGGGAAATGACAAATCAATATCTTATTCCTGAACAGATATTTGCTTTGTGTGAGTGGAAAAGCCTCTCGAGCCCATTTCATCCATACACAGTATACACTCTGAGTCACTGTGTGTATTGGTTGTCTGAATAAAACCAGCTTTTGCTTCGCCTACAGTGGGTGGAAAGACTAGAGCAAATCACTTATTCCTTATTTATTCTTACCACTCAGGTGAGGCTCCTGTATTAGAGAGAAATTCATCTTCCTTTATGTACTACTAATGACTTTATTATGTTATAAATTTGAATTATATCCAATCTTGAGCTTCAGCGTAGCAAAGCTAAAAGGCAGCGATCTGCTGATCTCAGAGAATACATACACCGACACTCAGGGAGCTTTCAACTTGAAATGCTGTACAATGTGCCTGCAAAGTGTGCAGTTATTCATTTTGCATCACATTACTGCAGCACAAGTGGAGCATACTCTGTTTGAAAATGACAATGAACTTAGTTTGCCGCTGATCAAGCACGATCCCACTCACACCCTGGTTCTTTTCAGGCCCCATCGCGCTCTCTGTCAAGTGGCAAACTCCACTTGTATGTGCATGCTAGTGGTGGATGGTATAATAGCTCCAACTCTCCACACTGCTGATGGAGAATAATGCAGTTTCTGTATGAGTGGCTCTGGCTCTATTCTACAGACCTCTGCACCTGGAAAATTGGGATTTTTGTAGATGAGTGTGTGTATGCGCGTGTGTGTGTTTATTTATGCATGTATACAATTGAAGAGGGAGCCAGCGCAGCAGCTTATCCTCTCCATGCCTTAACAGAGAAATTTAAATTTACATGTAAAGTAAGTGATGAGGGAAATCAATCTTACTGACAGACTTTAGTGCTCCGAGCCACAAGGGACAAGACGGAGTTGGGTCTGCATTTGTGTGGATCAAACACTGCTTTGTACACTTGCTGACAGTACACAAGCTGGGACTTTTATGTTTAGACACTAACATGCACACAAAGCTCCTTCACAGATAAAGTTGTTGATAAAAGAAATGGCACTCTTTTGTTATAACTCAGATATGAGCCTGCAATTTTAAGGGTTCTGCACCAAACTGCTATTCACTAGTATGACTGGATGTGATGAAGTAGGTTCACTGTTTTTTTCTTCCCCTTGAATAATCCACTGTTTATATATTTTTTGCAGCCGACTGTAGTACAGATGGACCTCTGCACAGGGAGGCCTTTGATATGTGGTTCCCCCATCCCTTCCCACTGACACACACATACACATCCCGCTCCCAGGATGGGGGTGGAGGGGGTAGAGAGGGTGGAGGGATGGACATATATTTGAGTGGCTCTGACATGTCTGTTTGTTTAACGTGCATTATATATGAAAGACCAGAGTGAGGGAGGAAAGACCATGGCAGCAGGGCAGCCAAACAGAGCAAACACGCAATGCAAGAGATAGAAAGTGAAAGAGGGCAAAGCAATGCTGCTGTTTACAGCTGGGTAGACAAACTGTAGGTGGAAAGCTTCAGTTTTCAGCACAAACACACTAGATTTAGTATCACAGGCTCAACTCAGACTGTTAGGTAACTCTATCTGAGATGTTATCATGCCTTCTTTTAGAGGGAAGAAGGGTTTAATGCTGGATAACAGCAGGATGACCATCCATTACCATTCATCATGTCATATATATTCTCTCAGATCAAATATATATGAAGCTGTTGTTCATTATGGGAGGAAGACCGTTTGCACAGGACTTATAGATTGAGCCTGTAATGTAATTGACAGATCCATTAAGGCTGATAGAAGTGTAAATAATTTACCTGTGTGTAAGTGTGTGTGTTCGCCTCAGCACCCCTACTTAGAGTTACTGAAAAACAGCAAACACAAAGGCATTTTCCCTCCTTTAAGTATAACGAAGGGAGAAGACAGTGAGTCTGACAGACAGAGCAGACACATTTTCAGACAGCATTAAAGCCACGAAGGAGCTCCTGGAGGAAATGGATGTGTATGTGTTTCTGAATGTGTGTGTGTGTGTGTGTGTGTTTGTGAGTGTGATGTAGCAGGAGGCTGAGAAAGAGTTTTTGAAGGAGGTCAAAGGGGAGCTTAAATAAAGGAGGAGGACAGAGTTGAAGAGTTCAAAGGAGCAAAAAATAGTCACTGCTCCGAAAAAGAAAAAAAGAAAGAAAGAAAAAGCTCTTATCGCATGAGATCATCCAGCTAAAGTCACCCAGAGAGGCAGGTGTCGGCTGATGTCAGCGTTTAATATTTGCTGTAATTCAGTGAAGTCAGCGACTTGTCGAGACCTTGTTTGCAGGATTCATTAAGCGAAGTCTGCGGATAAGGTAATCTGCCTCATTACATTAAAGACAAAGGCACAAAGTGAAAGAGGAGAGGGAACATTTTGCTTTGTTGTGGCTCTACTGCAGTGTGAGCTGACCTCTAGAGGGAGCTCTTATCATTCTAAAGTATCAAAACGCTTTTAGCTGGGTGATGCACTCAGCTCATAATTTAAGCATAGCTTTTGTGTGATTTGAGCCATAAAGCTCAGGCTTCCCTCAATCCCTAAGACTCTTTGTTTTGGGCCATGAGACGACACAAAGTCCCTCTGGCAAAAGAGGGCGAGCCAGGTTTCTGGAGCTCCCAAAAGATCAGTGGCAAGAAAGAAACCCACATCCTGCTGGCTTTGGAGTTTGGTCTGTCCTAAACTCAGTGACCAGTGTAAGAATTGGAGAGACTGTGAGAAGACTTGATGCCTGACTTTTTTAACCTCTGAGTAAACATTAAATGCTGGGACTTAACACTGAAGTATTTTAGGCTTGCTGTGTAACCTGGCAAGTAAACACTCTTTTTAATGAGATATTTGAGGCAAAAGAAAAACATATGGCTCATCCCTTTGATTCCTTAGTAAGTTCACTGCTAATTACGCCACATAAATCTGTATTACATGTTGTTAATGTGTGAGAATGAGGTTCCAGGATTTTACATAATCACCATATTTGGAAAATAATTGCTACCTGTCTGTGCCCTTATGTTTAAAGTCTGATGATATTAGAATTATGATACAATTCTGAACTTTGATGCTATTTCTGCTGATTGCTTTGAAAGTGTGAACATAAATTTGTGTGTGTGTGTTTTTCTTGAGCCAAACTTGCCTGCATGCTGTTTAGTTTCTTTATGATTAATGATATAATACAGAAAACTGAAACTAATAAGATTCTGTTTTTGCAGTTACACACTAGTTATTGCAGGCATACACCATTATGTGTACAGCGGGCACACACACACTCCTCCATTTCTCCATTTTCATATAGATATTTATTGAACTATTGATGTTTTTCAGGCTCCAGTGAAAACACTGAAAGAAGTATTCATTTTATTTGTGAATGAAGCACAGATAAAAAGCATTTGGAGGCAAAAGAAAAAGGAAATCCGAACAGTACAAAGGGCTTATTATTGAACTGTTTTCCCCTTGTTCCATCAAGTGAAGACCAATAGTTTTGAAGGCTTAAATGATCCTCTGTGCTCATCATCAACTGAAAGAATCGTTGGAACTTCACTGATCTGATCAATACTGGCGCTGATTGAGACAGAATTAAATTCAACGCGTGTGCTTTCATTAGGAAAATGATATGACTGAGCCAGATGGCTTTCATTCTTTTCAGTCAGCCTCCAACCATCAATGCTGCTTCTATATGCTCATTTCTGTTCAAGTCACCACTTTCAAATAACAGTGTAAGTGTTGGGAAAACAGCAAAATCAATGACCGGGTAAAAACCCTACACTGGATATAATGTTTCCATCTTATGTTTTTTCCCCACATCACCCTGAGCTACGTAGGCTAATTAAACTCCAGGAAACAACACAAACTAATGACTTGAGTGATTTGCCCGTGTGTTTGTGTGTTTGTGCAGCCAGAGCTGTGAGGTGGCGTCTATGTCTCTGTGATTTTAAGTGCTTGTGACAGCCGTCACTCTCTCCTGCTGTGTTTCCACTCCACATTGGTGTGAATATGTGTATTTGCGCCTGCGTGTGTGTATAATCATTTTTTGGTAGACCAGATATGCCTGTGATTCATACTTG